AATTGCGCACCCCCATGCAACGGCAACAAACAGCATAAAGTTTACTATCCATAGGCGACGCTTTAAAAGCCTTTACAGGTTGCCACTTTAGATTTACACAGAAGGTCTGATGTTAGAATTACTTCCCATGTTTTGATGTTCGCGGTAATACTAAATGTGTGGGGGGATCGTTGTTTGCGTGAGAACCAACACAGGCGTTCGCCTTTGTGTGCCAGCATGGGGGTGATGGGAGTGCTTTAAAAAATGTTTTAAATGAATATATTTTTACACTGTCACTTTTTAATGTTTTTTTTTTTTTTTGTTTAATCACTCTTATTGCTGTCACAAGGAATGTAAACATCCCTTGTGGAAGCAATAGACATATATATGGGGCGGCACAGTGGCTTAGTGGTTAGCACGTCTGCCTTGCAGTAAATGGGTCATGGGTTCGATTCCCGACTTTGACACCTCCTGCATGGAGTTTGCATGTTCTCCCTGTGCTTGCGTGGGTTTTCCTCCGGGTGCTCGGTTTCCTCCCACACTCCAAAGACATGCTGGCAGGTTAATGGATCCTGTCTAAATTGGCCCTAATATGTGTATGTATGAATGTGAGTTAGGGACCTTAGATTGTATGCCCCTTGAGGGTTAGGGACTGATGTGAATGTTCAATATATATATGTGTAAAGCGCTGCGTAAATTGACAGCACTATATAAGTACCTGAAATAAATAAATATATATATATATATGTGTGTGTGTGTAAATACTGTTCAGATAATAACTACAAATAAATATTATTTTATTTAAAAACAAAAAAGCAAAAATAACAGTCCAGCTGCCCATTGATGGAGAGCGCCGCCAGTCTGAGCCAGGTGTCCTCTGCATGGTCACCCGCCCTGGGTTGCATTCTTTTTGGGAGCTGCAGGAGACAGAGAACATCTGGCTCTGACTAGCGGCACTCTCCGCCAATGGGCAGCGAGGGGAAGGACTGGACCGGGACTGGAAAATGTCCCTTCCCACTGTGTGTAGAAGTGGCTAGTTAGCCGCTCAGATCGATTTTACAAGGGAGGCAACCATTGGCTGTAAAACGCTGCTGCTTGCAGGGATAAATGTGAGAAAAAAAACTTCTTGCCCAGTGCCTGGAACTGCATGTCCCCAGCATTGGGCAATTAGAATTGAACATCCCTGGTTTGAAACGAATGTTGATTTGACCCCACTAATTATTAGAAAAACAAGCCTTTTTGTTTTTGCTAAGAATTTATGTTCAAAAGTCTACCCATCTATGGCCAGCTTTAGACAAAAGCTCTACTTTTAAAATGCCTAAATTCTTGTATTACATCATTTTTTCTTCCTTTTCTTTGAGGGACATGCTGTATGTAGGCATTGTGGTGCTTAACAATTTTTCTTAATGGTAACTGAATGCAAAAAAACCCCAAAAAACTTGCCTACGCTTCAGCACACCACAATTCACATATGTGAATGCACCGTATGTTGTGGTACACTGCGTTGGCCATTATAGTGCAGGTATGTCTTTTTATGTGTCCAGCCAAAGAGAATAGTGTGCCTATAGACAAGTGTTGTCAATGCATGTCAAAAACGAGTGGAAATGAATGCTTAGGTGTGATGGAGCCCTAAGATAAAGGGCTCATTAGCGGCCCTGCTTTTTTTTTTTTTTTTTTTTTTTTTTTTTTTTGCTTTTTTTTTTTGTAAGAGTTCCATCAGTTTACTGCTAAAGTTGTCTGCTAATGCATGTAGTATTTTCAACAAAATAAACATAGAATTAACCAACATTGTAGATGAAATCGTAGAACATACTGTACTGTTATGTGGTGGGATGAACTTAGTCCTGGTTAGATTGTTAGAATGTTGGTCTCTCTGTACGCCAAAAAATAGTTGGTTTTAATTGGCTCCACTTTCATAAGATACAAACTGTTGGCATTTTTTATTTTGAATTTGATGCAGGCTTTGCCTGCAGGTAAAAGTGGTTCATTTTGGAACTACCTGAATTTGGTGCACAAGTCGCTGTTAGAACCAAAAGTGACACAGATGCTTCAACACATTAACGAGAGGGATTAATGCCATAAAAGTGGTGAATTGGATTTTTAAATTCCTCTCAATGTGTTTGGTCTCTTCCACATGGACAGGAGTCTGCTCCAATCAGCAGAGATCTGTGAGTGGGATCAAGATCACATCTGTGCCCGCTTGGTTTATGCAGAGCAGACATGGGCTGAACCCGCTGAGCTCTGATGTAAACAGACTCTGTTGTCCATTTACATCAGGCTACCTCTGATCTGGTCCGCCAAAACGGAAAAAGGGCACAGGCCCTAATTGGACCCTTAGGTGGGTGTAAACATACAAGTCTGTTTACAACCACCTGTCAGGTTCTGCCTGAGAAACTAAAAGGTGTACTTTATTGGAATGCGCATGTGAAAGGAGCCTTTTAGTTGGTGCTAATTTATATACTTTGCAAATATTTTTTTTTTTTTTTTTGTTTTTACTGCTGTGTGTTAATGGGAATGTTATCCTTTTAATGCTGGGTGTGTACCTAATGTAGAATTGTAGTGCCATTACTTTTATCAGCATGCCCAAAACAGAACTATACTCAACTTGGATCCAGCGATGCTGCTTTCCAGAGCTCCCTGCCGGCTGCTGACTTCTTCAGGCAGCCGGATTCCGAGTCTTGATCGCCAGCTGCTTTCATTGGCCGAAGGGAGGAGGGGGGTCTCTCCCTTGCATGTGTGGGAGTGCAGTCAGCTTAAGCATTGCCAAATTTCTACAGTGAACTTCTGAGTGTGCATCTCGCTGTAGAGTGGGGACAGACAGGTAAATAATGGTGAAGAGACAGCATGTCCCTTCTGCATCAAGAATCCTGCCTGTTTCCCATGTTTAGTAATTTATTTATTTCTTATTCTTTTTTTTAACTGAACTTCCACTTTAAAGCTTTGCAACTGGAATGTAAAATGTGGTTGTACTGTATAATTGTCAGAATGTCATACACAGCACCACTGATGTGTTTAGAGCTCTTAGTAACTGTAAATTTTCATTTGGGGATTTTAAGTATAGCTTCAATGTGTCAAAATAAGAATTATGCATGCTTAGCTTTTAAATTCCTAACATGATATACCACTTAATTTAATTACATAGATCCCCCCCCCCCCCCCCCCCCCCCCCCCCCCCCAAAAAAAAATATGTACACACTATACTGCCAAAAGTATTGGGATGCCTGCCTTTACACGCACATGAACGTTAATGGCATCCCAGTTTTAGTCCGTAGGGTTCAATATGGAGTTGGCACACCCTTTGCAGCTATAACAGCTTCATCTATTCTGGGAAGGCTGTCCACAAGGTTTAGGAGGGTGTCTATGGGAATGTTTGACCATTCTTCTAGAAGCGCATTTGTGATGTCAGGCACTGATGTTGGATGAGAAGGTCTGGCTCACACTCTCCACTCTAATTCATCCTAAAGGTGTTCTATGGGGTTGAGGTCAGGACTACCTGCAGGCCAGTCAAGTTCCTCCACCCCAAACGCACTCATCCATGTCTTTATGGACTTTGCTTTGTGCTCTGGTGCACAGTCATGTTGGAACAAGAAGGGGACATCCCCAAACTGTTCCCACAAAGTTGGGAGCATGAAATTGTCCAAAATGTCTTGGTATGCTGACGCCTTAAGAGTTCCCTTCACTGGAACTAAGGGGCCAAGCCCAACCCCTGATAAACAACCCCACACCATAATCCCCCCTCCACCAAACTTTACACTTGGCACAATGCAGTCAGGCAAGTATTGTTCTCCTGGCAACCGCCAAACCCAGACATGTCCATCGGATTACTAGACAGAGAAGCGTGATTCGTCACTTGAGAGAACATGTCTCTACTGGTCTAGAGTCCAGTGGCGGCGTGCTTTACACCACTGTATCCGATGCTTTGATTGCACTTGGTGATGTAAGACTTGGATGCAGCTGCTCAGCCATGGAAACCCATTCCATGAAGATCCCTACGCACTGCTGTTGTGCTAATCTGAAGTACACACGAAGTTTGGAGATCTTTAGCTATTGACTCTGCAGACAGTTGGCGACTTCTGCGCACTTTGCATGCACTGAACACACTCTGTCATTTTACGCAGCCTACCCCTTCATGGCTGAGTTGCTGTTGTTCCCAGTTGCTTCCACTTTATTATAATACCACTAACAGTTGACCATGGAATATTTAGTAGCAAGGAAATGTCACGGATGGACTTATTGCACAGGTGACAACCTATCACGGTACCACGCTTGAATTCACTGAGCTCCTGAGAGCGACCCATTCTTTCACAAATGTTTGTAGAAGCATTCTGCATGACTAGGTGCTTGATTTTATACACTTGTGGCCATGGAGGTGATTGGAACACCTGAATCCAATGATTTGGAGGGCTGGCCCAATACTTTTGGCAATATAGTGTGTGTGGGTGTATATGTGTGTGTATGTATGTATGTGTGTATGTAAATATATATGTGTGTGTGTGTATATGTATATATATATATATATATGTGTGTATATATATATATATATATATATATTAGTATGTCCTTTAAACTGTTGTCATAAACTGAAACATACGTAAATGTTAATTTAAAGCGGAACTACACTGTATTTTTTATATTCAACGCAAACTCCCCCATCCATTGATGTTTCCATGCTTTATTTTGCTTTGGAAAATGTCTCCTAGAATTTATGTGGCATCTTAAGTAAGGACAGATGATTCAGTAGCATTTACTTCCTGGAATCCATCTGCTCTAAGTTCAGGCATCTAGGCAGAAGGGTGTGCTTAGCTGAGAAAACCCCTCTCTTAGTATTTAGAAGGTGTGTGTGTACAGGACGATTCCACTACTAAACTGTATGCTGTGATTATGTTGAGGAAGATTTACATGTAAATAATGTTTTGCCCTGGAAATCAGCTTTAAGACACTGCATACATCAGCTGTTATGTATTATCATAAATTCCAGTATAAAAATGTCCTGATTGTGTTTTCTACTTTTTGCTTTTTAGTCCCAGAAATCTTGGATAGAAAATACCTTCAAGAAAAGAGAATGTATCTATATAATTCCAAGTTCAAAGGACCCACACAGGTAAACTGTAACAATGAATTATCTGTTCATTTTTGTGCTATGGGGTTTGTGTTTGTGTCCAGTGGTAATATAGAAGTGGTTCACGTTGTGATGACAAATATACAAAAGTTTTGTTTTTCATTATGTTCACTCATGTTACTAGCCAGCTGAAATTCACAATAAGTACTCATTCATACAACGTGTGCAGGGCAGCCTTGTCCAGCACAGTCCCTGCACAAGACATGGCAAAAAGCCTTGTTTCCTACAGTGTCCGTTAACACCACTCAATGCATTATTTGTTGCAGCGCAGCAGGTTGTAAAGCAACCTGCCACATTGCAATGTCACTATGTGAATACAACTTTATGAAATGCCACTTTGACATTTCAGTCAAGTTCAAAGTGGCCCAGCTCCCCCATCCCTCCATGAAACACCAGCAATTGTGTGTTCAGCATGTCTGTTTGGTATGAATGAGTCCTTACACACATTATGGAAAAATTGCAAATACCTCCTCACCGACCACCATACATTTTCTGACAACAAGTCACCTATAGAATTACTATTTAGTATTGCTGGTTTTATATTCCACGATTCTTTAAAAATGCCAACAAATTCCATTGTTTATTGCTTAACAGGTCTGGGGATTTGAAATCCCAGCAGCTTTCTCTCCTCTCCTTACAGGGATGACAGTATAGGCTAGATGGCTTCTAATTGGTCAGCACCATTCATGTGACGGTGCTGACCAATCAAAAGCCCTCTAGCCTGAACTGCCATCCCTGCAAGGAGAGAAGAGAAAGCTGCAGGGGCTTTCTTTCCTCTCCTAAAGCTGAAAACCCAAAGCATCTGCCTCCATGGTATACATCCCCACACACCCACTCTCCTCAGCATGGGATCGAAGCTATGACAAACCTGGGTCCTCACAGGAGCAATGAGGAAACCGCATGCAATTTGGGCATAAATTGCATTCCTGTTCAAAGTATTGGTTTCCAGTCTAGGGAGCATTTCACAAGTACGAGTACTCGTGAAAATACTCGGTAGAGGCACCGATATCGGTATCAGAGCATCCCTAGTAGGCTTAAAGATTTGACCAACTTTGACAAGGGCCAAATTGTAATGGATAGACAATTGAGTCAGAGCATCTCCAAAACTGTATCTCTTGTGGGATGTTCAGTGGTCAGGACCTACCAAAAGTGGTCCAAGGAAGGAAAACTTGTAACAGGGTCATGGGCGGCCAAGGCTCATTCATGTACATGGGGAGAGAAGGCTGATTTAAATATTCCAGTCCTATAGAAGAGCTACTGTAGCTTACAAACTTAATGCTGGTTCCGATAGTAAGGTGGTCAGGATGCTCATGTTGACTCGTGTCCACAGCCAAAAGCTTTCTGATGAATCACAGTTTATATTAAGTTATGAGAATGGCTGGGGGGGGTATGTGTTACTTACCTGGGGAAGAGATGGCACCAGGATGCAGTATGGGAAGAAGGCAAGCCGGTGGATGCAGTGTTCTGCCAGGAAACCTTGTGTCCTGTCATTCATGTGGATGTTAATTTGGAGTCTAGTTCTCTACAGGTCAGGGATGTTTTGGCAGCAAAAGGGGGAGCAGTTTCCAGATCCAAAACTGCTGGCATTGCTGCCTCTGTTTGCCTTGTCTTGGAAGACTCGCTTTGTGAATAATCCAGTCATGTTGAGCATTGAAAGATCATTCATTATTGTTGGTCACTGGGCGACATTCCCTGTTTCATGCTGGCTTTTCTGTGGAAGAGCTTGAGACTCTGGAAAAGATCACTGATGTCATCCAGTGGATGGAGTGTTGCACACATGCACACTTTACTTTTTCCCCCACCATAACCACCTACCTCTTGGCCACTTACAGTGACTTTGGTCACTTCTGGCCATTAGTTCAATTTCCACTAACAAGTTGCTGCAATGGCTGCAGCCTGGAATCTGTTGTTGGTCTCACCTGTCCTAGGAGTCCTTTTCAGCTCCATTAGGTATAGCTGGAACCTCTGCCCTCTCCTCTCAGGCTTTTCCTATGGTTATGCAGGACTTTATGACCAAAAGTACCCAGTTATTTGCTGACTCCAGTCAGCATGCTTCCGCACCCTCTTCCTTAGATTCTGTATTTGATTTACCTCCAGGCCTAGTGTCTTCTGAGCCATCAACTGCATAAGCTTTTTCAGATTCTGAGTTGCTGAAATCCTTATCAGATTAGCTTACCTCTGAGGAGTTGCAATTTGCTGCTATTATAAGTTAAATTAGACTATTTCAGCTCTATTTCATACTCTACCAAAAGTAGAGTATTAGCTTGTTTCTACCAGTTCTGTTTCTAGCCTTTGGTCGTATAGACCCCTTTCCCTTTGAACTTACTTTTCCAACTATCTCTATATGAAAATTTTAAGTTCCGGATGTATTGTGCAGATTTTGTGGAGAAGGGGGTTGTGCCCACTGCAGATTTGATGACACCTTGCCTTAACAAGGTGACTACCATTCCAGTGGAGGATGCACCTACCAATTAAGTGATTGGAGATCCTTTACAGAACTCTGTTGTTGCTGGTAGTACCATCCTGCACCTGATTCTAGCTGTGATTTCACCTTTTCAGACCATGTCTGATTTGGTAAAGTCTCTTTAAAAGGGATCTAACCACTTCTGCTTTTGTCCCCTCTGTTTGTGGAACATGGGAAACAGATGGCTGTGGCATTGAATTTCAGTTGTGATGGCTTAGTGGAAACTTCCTGCCTTGTATCTCGCATTAATCACCTATTGGTGCAAATATGTAGGACACTTTGGATGGAGTGCTAGGCGGCAGAACTGACTCGTTAGAACCATTTGATCTCAGTGCTCTTTGGACTGGCTCCAGTATATTACTTATGGTTCCCAGCAGATGTAGCTTAAGGTGGAGACTACCAAGGCCTTTCCCTTTTTTTAAGCAAGCCATAGATTATGCGATTTTCTTTCCTTTCACCACGGAGCTACTATTCTTCTGGCAGGGAGCCTTCACGGCCAGCAGAACACATTGATTACTGCTAACAGCTATAGCCGCCGGCAATAATCGCATGTTAAAAATCCAACAGGCTGATTGCACCCAAGTCAATTGATGGATCAACTTGGGTCCAACCAGCCTTTTCATAGATGGATTGAATCTCAGCCAATCCCTGTTGAACCGGCCAAGATTCAATCCATCTACGGCCAGCCAGCTTTACTGTCAAGATCAGTCCTGTTTATTTCTCCACTTCCTTATCTTAAGTTTCATGGCTTCCCATGTTTGCGCAAAGTCTGGCACTTCAAGTCTGCCACATCTTAAGACAAGCCTTCCTCAGCATCCTGCACTTTCTAGAGTGTATACTGGGGGAAGAGGGGAATGGGACTTTGTTGCCCTTTGGTCTTCTAGTGTGTTATGGATAATTTCGTTGAAAGACTTATTTCCAGTTTTACTTCTACTTTTGGACAGATGGCCTCAGATTCTCATCAAGCACATCTTAATATGATGCAAAATTTGTAGTTGACTCCATCATTGCGTGTTGCCCAGTCTGTACAGCAGTAAAACAAGCACACGCCATAACATTTCCACCACCTTGCACAGTTGTTATGAGGATCTTCTGAAATACTGTCTTGGGTTTGCAGCAAACATTTATGGTTACTTTGTGAAACAACGCTTCTCTTTAACTGATCAATCTTTAGCACATTGTCTGAGAAGACCTGCTCTTTGCTTGTATGTTCAATGGCAAATTGTAGTCTTGTCTTTTTTGTACAGCAAAGGCTTATCTTAATCTCACAGTACAGGATACAGACTGAGCATTCATAGACCTTTGGTTGTGAGCTTGTAACTTCAAGTGTTTGGACACAGGCAAAGCCTTTGAGGACATGCACTTTGACCCCAACTGTTGAAAAGGTTACCTGGGAGGTAACCAGAAACACCATTTGATGAAATCTTGGGGACTTTTGGCATCAATTCAGGTAGGAACTAGCATTCACTGACTTTTCATGATGTACATACCTGTTCTCACTCAGGTTGTCTCAGAGTATTAAATTAATGTCATCATGACACTACAGGCTACAAACAGCCCCTGAATTTCTTGCATATCATCTTACTCTGGAGAAGTCACAATATGCTCACTTGATGTTTCCTTGGTTTGTGCTATTTAGGATGTAGACCTGTGGTACCCAACTTACTAGTTATAGGGAGCCTAAAATGGGTTCCCTGTTATTGAACACCCTTTTATAACAGCCATCCATAGAATTTCAGGTAATAAACATTTGTATGTGTTCTATGGTCAGTTCTTCAGATTATCTTGCTGCTCCATCAAAGCATAGAGAAGTAAATTTAGGGTTTCTGATGAAGGAGCAAGATAATCTGAAGAACTGACCATAGAACATAAGCAAACTTTTATTATCTGAAATTCTATAGGTGGCTGTTATAATGAGGTGTTCAATAACAGGGAATCAACTTTATGTTGGGTAGCACAGGTCTACATCCTAAACAGCACAAACCATAGAAAAGTAAATTTAGGGTTGCTGGACCTTTACAACAGCAAATGGGGGTAGAACAGTTGACACTGACTGCATTTGTTTTCTCTTTCAAGGCCAGAACGTGTTTGGGTATCGTAGAGTAGCACTTTATATGCAGCCACCCCATTTATGTGTTTACTAAACCCAGGACCCTGCATTCACTATATCTGGTCTCCCACAGTACACAGAACATGGAAATGCAGTTATTTTAGTAAATATAAACTAATAAATACCTTTTCTCATGAGCAGTATATTGCAGTCTTGTGACTTCTATCAGAGTGTCGAGCCCTGGTTAAAGCTTGTAGGAGGAGTTTTCATTCTGCTTTGACTGACCTATGGGGCTGCATAAGCTTTGACCCTCTGGACAGTGATGATTTGCCCAGTGCTGATAACATGCACCCTTTCAAAAAAAACAAAATAAAACTCTCTAGCAATACACACTAAACTGAGCATGTGTATAGTGACTCCTGCAAATCTGTGCTATCAGCAGATGGATTGGGGACAGTAGAAGGAGGG